AATATACTGTTAGATGTTATTAACATTATATGTAATTATTTATTGATCGTTTGACAAAGTTCGTTCCATGCCGTATAATTTTATTTTTTGACATGTGTCATTCGATGGCGCGCCTTTTAGATTCACATATGTGGACCATATGTATATTGAATAGTAAGTATTGAATTGTAATTGTAAATAAATGAATTGGTAAGTGTTTTGTATAATATTTTATGTCTCTGTTCTATGTTTTTTAATTATTATTTTTTCAAATCATTATATTTGCACAACCATATTTTCCAATTTTCATATTCAAGTATCTGTTCCGAGTTGCTCGGAATATAATTAAGGTAATATTTATGAGTATTTTGTCAAACCCAAAAACGTTTCACCTTTGGAATTTTAAACTGATATTTAAGACCATATGAACGTCTCCACAACTTGACGTTCTTAACAATTGACAATAACCTTCTAATAGGCCAGAAAAGCACGCTTTCTTAACACCAATATACCTTTTCTTAAAGAAGTTTATTCCATGGTCCTAAACTATGCACCCCAATAAAGTGGGCCTACGCGCTCGAACTCCGATGACCAACACATGGTGCCCATTTATTACTTCCTTTGAAGGACCCAAATCACTCAATTGCTTTGGGTTACTTTGTTAACAAAATGTAATTTACAACCCTGGAATAAAGGCTAAAAATCTTACAATCCCATTCGCTAAACCATCTCACCAATCAGTATTTTTCACAAATAACAATCTGTCCTGATTGGCCCTTTTTGGTAACGCCTTCACGTCCTGAACTTCCTGCACTGCTTTCTTTTCTGGCTGTTTAGAAGCGACGAGTCAGTCTTAATTCAGCTTCCTTAGAATATACTTACTTCGGTCAGTCTTACATTAACTTTGTCATTATCAACGACTTTAACACACAACAATCATTACAACTAGTGGGATGATGATCAACATCCTTCAATGACCTGGGCACACCAGTGTGGAGGACTCTGAGCCACTCTATCAATTCTACTCTATAATACTAACTCTACATATAATTCCACTACCGTAACAAGTTGTGGAAACGCCATGGGTCGACGAAGATTTACAACCTTCGAAATTAACTATAAATAATTAATATTTTACCCAGCGCGTGAACAGTATCTACACATCAAAATGGTTGATTTAACAAAATTATTTTCCCTGAATTTACCCAATTCGTATCAAAATATATATCAATATGGACACGAAAAATATATTATTTCAGTTGGTCTACAAATAGAATACCAATCGAAAGTTTATCTCGTGTTTCGCAAAAAATTATCGAAAATCACGAAGCATGATAGCACACGCGAAAGCAGAGAATCTAATTCCGTAACTTTTTCCGGTTTCTTTTCAAGCCATTCGCATAGTTGTCGAAGTTCGGGCAATGTATTGGCCCGTTGAAAAGTTGCCGGCGCTCAAGGCGATTTCGGTTAGCATAGTTCGGTCCTATCCGTTGAAATTGTGTACCGTCCAATTAAGCATAATGGAATGAAAACACCGTTTTCAAGCGAGGTCGTGCCGTAACGCAAGAAGCCGCGAGGACGATAACGCGAATCTTCCAACTTTTACGCCATTTTGTGTCCCGGAGAATGCTATCTTCTCCGCGAGACTGTTTCCTTCGTTAACTTTGCACAAAGGGTCGCCATTTTGTTCTCCGCGGTTACGTGTTCGATCGATATGGATATCGAATCGTGCAGCACGCATCGTTCCCGCGAAATTAATAAACGCTCGAAAGAAAAGGAAAATTATTCGATTTACAGGGTGAATCAGCGGACTATAACTTCGATGATCAGCTTTATCGAAACGTTCGGAATTATCTCGGTTCCCAGGCGAGTTTAATTAAAACATAACAAGCCCCGAACGATTTTCTCGTTGCGAATCAAGGCGCACGGTGTTCGCGGGTCCATCGATGGCCCGAGAAGGAAATTAACTGCGGCAATTAACAGCAAAAAAAGAAACGCGGGAAATGGGAACGCGCCGCGTCCGATTCGAAATAACCGAGGAACGGTGATTCGCCGTTAATCGCGAAACGCGATCTTCGTAATCGTTCGAAAACGATAAATCGTCGCCGACGAAATCGGTCGCCGCGAAAGAATTATCGTTCGTCGACAAACGATAATCCGAATGTTTCGAGCGTGTACACAGCCGGGTCCGCGTGTAATTCCGTCGCGTACGAAATACCCCGATTCCAACATTTACTCCGTCGTTTATACTATTCTCCATTAACAGGTCGTCGATTTGTGGGCGACGATTAAACGCGGCCACGACCAATCCCGTGAGTAATTACACACCGGCCAGGTGGCACACGCCGTACTCATTAGCAAACGTGCAAACAGCACGAACATCGGCGCCGATTACGATTCGATTCGGGTGATTCGTTTTCGACAACCTTTCGATTTGCTCGCCGATAAAACACGATTGCTGGCCTGACTTAAGATAATTCCAAGAATTTAATGGGTTATGGACTTATTTGCCGGTTATGAAACACTCAGAGTGAAGAACAATTCTAGAAGAAATGTGGCTTTTGGGAAGTTGAAATTTGGAGATGTAGTAGTTTAAGAATCTGAAAATTTGAGATAATGGAAGTTTAGGAATTTAGGGACATAGAAATTTTGGGGACATAGGAATCTCAATATTTACGGATTTGATATTTCAAAATTTGGGGACGTAGAAATTGAGCGATTTAGGGATTTAAGGATGTATAGATTTGGAGATCTAGAAACTCGGAGGTCTAGAGATATAGGGATCTAGAAATGTGGGAATCCAGATGTCTTGGGGGTCTAGGAATTTTGGGGTTTAAAGATTTGCGGATCTAGGGATTTGGGAATTTGGGGATTTGGGGATCTAGGGATTTTTGGATCTATGGATTTTGGGATCTAGGAATTTTGGGATCTTGAGATCTAGGGATTTTTGGATCTAGGAATTTGGCGATCTAGGGATTTTGGTATCTAGAGATTTTGTGATCTAGGGAGTTTGGGATCTAGGGATTTTGGTATTTTAGAATCTTGGAATCTTGAGATTTTGAGATTTGGGGTTTTGGGATCTAAGGATTTGGTAATCTAGTAATTTTGGGAACTAGATATCTAGGGATTTGCGAATCTAGGGATTTTGGGATCTAGGCATTTGAGGATCTAGAGACTTTGAGATCTAGTGATTTGAGGATCTAGGAATTTCAGAAACTAGTGATTTGACAGTCTAAGGATTTGCGAATCTAGAAGTCTGGAAAATCTAGAAAACAAGATTAGAAATTTAAAAACCTAGGAATTTGTTGATCTTATTTTTTAGGGTCTTAAATATTTGAAAATCAAATTTTGAAATTTCCAGATATTGTAATCTAAAAATTTGAAAACCTAAATACTCAGTGAAATAGTTAAAAGAATATATTACTACAAAACTTACAGTATACTATACATGAAAATGAACTTGAACGTCTGTAGATAACTCAAAGAGCTCCGCTTTCTCCGTTCTATTACACAAGGAAATGCGGCGTCGTTTTTTCGCGGATGACAGAAGAATGTATTATCCGCGGGCCATATAAACTCGAAGAAAATCCCGTTCATAAATTAGGGAAGTTTACCAAGCCGCGTTAGATGTTCGTTCCATTTTTAAATCGAGATTCGTCAATGAGGTTGCCTTTAGCGGTGAACTCGTGGAACTCAGCCAACGTTCGATCCATCGAATTACAAACTATAAACGTGACTCGGTCATTTTACGGATTGCCAACGGCTACGGTTACACAGGGTATATGTTTGCCGCTAATAATTCGGCTTAATGAATTGGGAGCTTGATGCAATAATTAGTCCGCCGCTGATGATGCCGGACGAAAATAATTATCGTACTCCGCAACGTTTCTGTAACCGATTAATAATTTCGGCCCATCATGTCCCGGCTGGTTCCCTCCTGTCATTGCAATAACTATTACTCCTAAACCACTTGATCGTGTAATTGTATTCGTTTCATTTGCTGCACTCGTAACAAACCGATCACAGTAATTAATACCGCAGGAGACAATTAACGATATCCTGCTTTCGTTAATTATTGTGTCTTTTGATCGTCGCTCGATTAGAAGTAATTGCTTCATTTTATTTGGTCCATGGTAATTTTAATTGCTGGCCTTTATGACGAAAATTTATTTAGCGAATTTACAAATTTAGTTAGAATCTGTAGAAAATATTTATACGCGAAAGAATGGTATGAAAATTGTGCGAATTTAAATGTTAAAAGCAGCTCGCAATAACAGTATTAAAAAAGTTCTCTCGCAGCATTGATGAAAGTAAAACACTGGCAAAACTGACATGGGAAATCTTTAGACGAGAAACTCTAAGTCTATTTTCTGTGTCGCGGAGACACGAACTTAGAAAATAGTTTCTGCGAGGCGCAGACTCGAAATCTCGGAGAATCCGGCGCACACAGCAGAAAATTCTATGGAAGTTATATTACGTTCATGGTGTTTACTGTTACCTCGAAACGCGAAGAAACTTGCTACTGCTCTATACTCGTTCCAGAAAATTACTTTTTTATCCTTTAATCAAATATTTTACGCAAGGTGTCTTCGATTTGGAAATACTTTCATATAAATTAAAATATATACGAATCGGAATAATCGTAATAAACAATAATCGTAATACAACCTAGTAATCGTAGTAATTCAATAATTACACTAACTTCATAAATTCTGTACTTGCAAACTGGTATATTTAAACCGTTCATAAATTATCAAAAATTTAATCTAAAAGAACCATGTCATAATCATAAAAATACCGAGTTAAATAAATTCTCTCGAATCACGGTTTGAAGCAACCGGTTCAAGTAGGTAGAGTAAATAATTGCGGCGCAAAATGTATTCAGTAGAACGAAACAGGAATGATCAGACAGCCGGCAAAATAGCGCTTAAATAGTGAATGTTCGCGTTTGAAGCGAGTGCTTCCCGGAGGAAACGTTCGAGTTTAATTGCGAAATTAACAAACGTAAAAAGAACACTCACCCCGCTTGGAAGCGTGAAAACTATCCTGCGGCTTTATTTGCTCAATCTGGGCGCTGAGACGAGACTTGGGGAGGATGTCTCGGTTAGCGTTGATCTTTTCCACGGCATAACGAAAGGCCACTTCCTGCTTGTCGTCTGACGGATGAAACAGCCCACCTGGGAAATCACACATCCATATTAAAGGACCGCTTTGACGAGACTACGAGTATTTCTTACATTTTGTCGTCAAACCACGCATCCTTATATTTTTTATTTCCCCCTGCTACGCAAAGTTACTGGCTCGGAAACTTCACTTTAGATAGACATGATACGTTAAATATTAAACGCTTTATCTTTCTACAGAGAAAATTTTAACATAGATATATTATTACCACACCAAGAATTTATATAATATATAAATTCAGTAAAAGATACAGTGCAATTGAAAGTAATTTTACCCCCTTCAAAAGGACAGTGTTAAAATAAAATCCATATCTGTAATAATTTACAAAAGAGCCATGCTCAACCCTTAACAGTGTTAACATTTACAGACAGTTAATAAATATTTAAAATTTCATTGAAGGAATGTTTTACGAAGAGGTTAATTAGAAGCACGTAAAAAAACAGAAATGGCAAGTCCGTTAATATGCAACGAACGAGATGTAATACAGAGGCAAAGAATTGTTCCCGAAAAAAGAAATAAAGGAGAAGTTAAAACTTTTGGGGCTACCATTACGTAGCCGCAATGAAACAGGGCGAGGAAAAGTTAAGAATTTAAGAACACGCTGATACGCCGCTTTGAAATTATGATTCGTTTGAGAGGCACGGAGGGTTGGAGAAAAGTTGCAACGTGGATTATTTAATAACACACGGTGCTTAGGTTCCCGCGGAAAAAGAAAATTTCCGATGAATAATTCACGCGACGGCAAACGTCCGACGAGCTAAGACCGCGTTCAAGCTCGGCCACGTAAACGTCGAAGAAGTTGGATGGTTCGAGAGGGTATCGAGCGTATCCCTCTGCTTTTCGAATTCTGTGCCGCTAGGAATTGGCGTCATAAATTGATTTTAATCTCGCACGCGTCATAAAGTAACCGAACGAACAGCTGCGCCAGCTTGGCTTAACAATTTATTGACCTTACACCCGATAGATTTATGTATCTCGCTAAGGGTGAGGTAAAACGGCCAGACAAATCAACCATGATCGTTATTATTTGACCGGAAAATGGAAATGCCGCGGTAAAAGAGCTGGCGAGTGGAAAAGGTACGTTATTGGCCAGACAAGTAGGGAAGGTTACAGCTCGGAGGAGATCAAGTGTGAAAGAATAATGATCGGACAAATTAAGTATGACCGGTATTATTTAGTTAGAAAAGGGGATAGGTACTGACCAAGAGCAGACAAGTGGAAGAAGCACATATAGGTCAGACAAGTGGACTGGGCAGTGTGACTAATCAGACAAGTGGAATATGTAGTGTTACAAGTCAGACTAGAAGAGTAGGAAACGTTGTTGGTCAGACAAGTAGAATAGGAGTGCGCGAATAGTCAGACGGAATAGGTAGACCTGTTAGTCAGACAAGTAGAATAGGCAACGCTATTAGTCAGACAAGTAGAATAGGGAATACTACTAGTCAGACAAGTGGAATAGACCTATCTTCCAGACAAGTAGAATTACAGTATGGATGGTCACAAAAATTAAATATAAATTGCTCCTCAGAATCGAATAAGTGAAATAGATATTCTAAGTTGTCAGACAAGTAGAACTCGCAGCACTGCGAATCATACCCATGAAATACACATCTACCAAAATCATGCACTGCAGTATGAATAGTTGGACAAATGAAATAGAAGTTGCGATGAGTTCATTGATTGGCATAAAAAGAACGATAATATCGATCTACACATGAAAAAGTCAAGTACGCGAACGAGTGGTGCTTGTAACTCTATTTCGTCGGTTGATCGAGTATGAAGATCGAGCGTGTATCCTCCCTCTTCCTCCAATCTTTCTTTTTTTAATAACTCCTTGTTATTTGGTCGAATTAATACAGCCTGAATATTCATCGATCGTTAACGAATTATTTCATGCTAGCTTGTCTCGTTCGACGACTCTCGACAGCGGCACAAAATCCGTAAATTAATACCGCCTCGATACGTCGCATGTGTATTCGGTTAACGTTGCACGCAAAACGTCACGTTTAATTATCAGCGTCAGAAATTTCCAGCCAATCGTGTGCTGAATAGCGTGAAACAAGACTGCCAAACGACGTAGAACTTCAGTTTCAATATTGTATCGTTAAACCATTCAGGAATTACTGATAATCGATACGCGTGCACACTCGTTCAACTTTTAATATCATTGTCGCGCGAAACTAAATGTTCTCCGGTCAGATATAAAGAAAACTTTCAATCAAACAGCACCAGTTGCGAGGTAGTAACGTTACCAGACAGCGGTATCAAGTTACAAATAGTTACTATTGTTTGCTTGGTCCTTGACACGGTCGTGATGCATCGCTTTAACGCGAAGTTTACGCGTATAGCGTTACCTACGTTCTCGAGATTCCAAGAATAGACGTTCCTGGCTTTGTGATCCTACCTGTCTGACTATATGCGGCTGATACTACTTGCGTAGCGTCAGGGATATTAGACGCTGCATTTCGAGGAGTACGATGAAATTACGAGAACCCTACATGATCTTACTTCGATTTCAGTGTATCATACTTCGATCATGGTATAACCAGCATATACATATATATAGATAGAGGATATAATATTGATACCAGATAACACGATATTGACTGTAGCTTTGCATGGATTTGAATCGAATTGGACTTCCCGGAAACCTCTTATTCAATTTAAAGCGATTTGGATCGATTTTAAATCAGTACAATTTCATTTGAACTGATACGATTTGATTTGGACTAATTTGAAATGAATTCGAATTTGAACTGACTTGGAAAAATTTGAGACAAGTGTGATTCAATTTGGAAGTGTATAAACATAAGATTAACACTATTTGCCTTTCCAAATATTTTTCAAATTGACGAACAAGAAGATTAGTTACATAATACATTCAATATTGACAATAAACGTAGATTAATTGCATTGAAAATAAAAGGATAGAAGTACCAGTGTAATAAATGAAATACATTTTAGAAAATTGATCCTGCAATTGCTTTAAATTCTTAAGTTTCAATTAAAGTGATACTCAGCGAGCTCTATTTGCTTGATTTCACTAAATTGCCTTCAGCTATTATCAAAGTTAATCAAAACGTATCCTTAGTGGACTACACGATCGCCGTTTTAATCGTTCTCCGTCTAATAATCGTTATCTTAAATCGTCCTCTAGTGACGTGTTCCAATAGCGTCGAAGGATGTATCGATTACAATTTCCTTTTTCACGACGTCATTTCCCGCTAAAGGTTAAAGGTTACAACGGTATAAAAAGTGATATAAAGAGTGACGATCGTCGGGGAGGAAATATTACGTGTATGTGGTCTGATTTGATAAGCGAGAAATTTGGAAATTTGGGAATTTAGAAATTTAGAAGTATGGAAATTTAGGAATTTGCGAATTTGAAAATTTAGGAACTGGGAAATTTCTAAATTTGGAAATTTCGGAATTTTGAAATTTGGAAGCTTTGGAATTTGGAAGCTTTGGAATTTGGAAGCTTTGGAATTTGGAAGCTTTGGAATTTGGAAGCTTTGGAATTTGGAAGCTTTGGAATTTGGAAGCTTTGGAATTTGGAAGCTTTGGAATTTGGAAGCTTTGGAATTTGGAAGCTTTGGAATTTGGAAGCTTTGGAATTTGGAAGCTTTGGAATTTGGAAGCTTTGGAATTTGGAAGCTTTGGAATTTGGAAGCTTTGGAATTTGGAAGCTTTGGAATTTGGAAGCTTTGGAATTTGGAAGCTTTGGAATTTGGAAGCTTTGGAATTTGGAAGCTTTGGAATTTGGAAGCTTTGGAATTTGGAAGCTTTGGAATTTGGAAGCTTTGGAATTTGGAAGCTTTGGAATTTGGAAGCTTTGGAATTTGGAAGCTTTGGAATTTGGAAGCTTTGGAATTTGGAAGCTTTGGAATTTGGAAGCTTTGGAATTTGGAAGCTTTGGAATTTGTTTGGAAATTTTTGAATTTGGAAATTTTGGAATTTTGGAATTTTGAAATTTGGAATTTGGAAATTTTTGAATTTGGAAATTTTGGAATTTTGGAATTTTGAAATTTGGAATTTGGAAATTTTTGAATTTGGAAATTTTGGAATTTTGGAATTTTGAAATTTGGAATTTGGAAATTTTTGAATTTGGAAATTTTGGAATTTTGGAATTTTGAAATTTGGAATTTGGAAATTTTTGAATTTGGAAATTTTGGAATTTTGGAATTTTGAAATTTGGAATTTGGAAATTTTTGAATTTGGAAATTTTGGAATTTTGGAATTTTGAAATTTGGAATTTGGAATTTGGAATTTGGAATTTGGAATTTGGAAATTTGGAAATGGGAAAATTGGAAATTTCAGAATTTACAAAGGTGCATCTGAAGATTCTTTAATTCATTTTAAACTATCTGGAAATTTAACCTTCCAAAATGTTCAAAACTCCAAAACCGACCACGAAAAACCTCAAAACCCTGCAAAATCCAAAAACCATCAAATTTGCATATATTTTAACATTAGAATTCGAAGGTCGACAGTCCGCCGAGTCGCAGCCATAGAAATTTCGCTTGAAAAGAAAGCAGAGAGGTCTTTTAACTGGAGAAGGTAGACTGTAAAGATACTCACCTATCCTAATGAGATCAGGAAGAGCCGCGGCGTGGGCGGCGAGGAGCGCCAGCAGGAGCCACCTCGCAGCCATTTCCGGTTCCGGTCCGCCACACCGGCTCCCCG